GATGAAACAATATCTTACGTTTGCCAACAATCCTGTATTATGGACGCGATTCGGGGATTTAGTCCTTCTGGTAAGTCTAACCGTCGGTCCATGAACCCAACAACTCCAACAACCTATTAGAAATTGATTAGAATCTCTATGATTAAGCTTATAGTCTCATAAGGAACAGAAATTTGAGAGGTACCTGAATAGAGTTTAGACGGTCCCATGGGATTAAAGTAGTCATTAGCTCCCACAAGATGACTCCAAAGCTGAACACATCACACCTGTTACAACAAAAGTACTGAATTTTAAGCCCCAAAATATGTTCCAAGTTTATTGCATAATGTCGCCACGAGAAAGGGCTAATATTATACGGACATACTTCTCATTTGAAGGTTCGCTTCTTAGAACTTCAGGGGCCATCCACTGCGGCTGCACATAGAAATATGAATTATTTTAGTTTACAGAAAAGCATATGTTTTGTGGATTAAGATAATCAGAAGGAAAAAAAACGGCAGGGTGTTTTGAAAAGCGTTACCGTTCCTTTCCCAGATCTAGTGCTTAAGAATGTTGCGTTCTTCCACTTTGACAACCCAAAGTCACCAACCTAGGAAGAACAAATGTTGCAAGTGAAGAGTTGATAAACTCATTTTACAAGTTTGTGGAGGAAAATGAAGCTTTGTGTACCTTGACATTCCAGTTTTTGTCCACGAGTAGATTGGAGGATTTCAAGTCCCTATGTACTATTGGCGGATTTCTGCGGTGTAAGTAATTCATTCCCCTAGCCTGCAACAACAATGGAGAACCAACCCAGATTCGCTCAGCCTTTCACATTTTTGTTTTTCATTGCGAGGGAGGTCTCTGGAAGATGAGAGTCTTACAACATCAAGGGCCATCCTTAACCGGCGTTTTTTGTCCAATGGCTGGTTTGAATTATGAAGTATTTTAAAAAGACTCCCTCTAATCGTCAAAACCAGAAATAAATAAATTAAAACAGTGCACTGATCAGCAATTTCTTGCAGCATAGTATACCGCACTCGATAAGGAGCCAGACTACTTCCTGATTTAGAGGTCAATAATCTCACCTCGGCAAATACTCCATGACTATGGCAGATCTTTCTTCGGAACATACTGCTCCCATAAACAACAGCACATTCGGATGTCTCAATTTCTTCATAATGTTGATCTGGAGATATTGATCCCAACTGATTTATTTTCTGGCACTAATGATTTTTTGAAATACTTACACAGAGGGAACCAAATATGCGTACCTCCTTTTTGCACTCCATCCAAGTCATCGCATTGTAATCACCCTCAAAGTAAACCTTAATAGCAACATCCTGGTCCAAATACAAATTGGACTAGTTAGTTATTCCTGTGCACTGATACAGTAACCATCTTTGAATTATCTTTCAATGACAGTAGACTTACTGATCCATTCCAAACTCCTCGATGAACCGCAGCAAATGAACCTGTGCAAATGTAACGCATCAGAAATACTCGGAATACGATCGAAACATCCTAGACACAGATCTATATCGAATCTGTCATATCTTAAATTTGAAACGAGTCTAAGACTTTGTTAAACCAAGTGCACCTCGTCCAACTTCTTCCCCAAGTTGTAGATCTTCCCATCGTATCTCACATGACGAATCAGTAAGTAATCTATTTTTCATTTGGCTTGGTGGACTTTGTTGCCCACTGATGCTGACTTCAGTACTTGGAAAGGGATCGCCACTAGGCCGAGTCGTCCAAGCATCTTCTATCTCACCATTTAAGTCTGACATCCTTGTTCCCCTGCCAAAAATCAGACCATTCTCTGGTCCTTTGGGTGGTTTCCCTCGCCTCATATTCCCAATAAACTGAAAGCGGTCTCCAGGAGGTGATACTATGTGTCTCTCTTCACTCAAACCTCGAGCTCCACTCCCATAGACATCTGAGAATCCAGTTTCAGCCTTTTTTGGATTTCCATTGTCATTGTCTCTGAAAGTCGTGCAGGTTACTGCATTAGAAGCCGTAGAAATAGCTCCACCGCCACCAGCTGTAATATTTATTCCATTTCCAAAGATAGGTTCAATATCTTCATTTACATGGCTACCAGTAATCTTCCTTTGCAGCTTCCCCAAAAACTTATCCGCCTATGATAGTACATATGCAGTTTCAGTTTATACCATGAGACGTTAATTGTTCAAGGAAATGTGAATAAGAAGACTAGTGTCTTGTTTAAGTGGACAACGAAGACTTACCAGTGAGCCATACTTCTCAAAAGTTGTTGAGGTAATAACAGGAACATTTTCATCTCTGCTCGTAGAATTATGTTTTGCATTGAAGGAATCATCTCCATTTCTCTGTGGTAGAAGCTTCGACGCCTTCATGGTTTGTACAGAAAACATCAAAACAAACAATCACTCATCTTTCACATGAATCGAACACAAAAGGGAACTTCAAAACTTAGGGGATTCAGAATGTGAAATTTACCAGATTTGAAACAGTTGATGAAATCTGTGGGACAAATGGAACCTGTGGTAGTGCAGTGATCTGAGGCCTTGGGAGGTGCCATTGGTGCTTTCTCAAGTTTGATTCATGTCTATTACTATGTGCTTGTTGTTGATGCTCATTACTTAGTGGATGCATCCTATTGAAAAGCGTTGCATCGCTCGAGACAGTAACAACACCAACAAGCTCTCCATCTTCATAAACCGGGCTTTTAGTCACCAATGCCATGAATAGTTCACCTGATTTCTTCTGAAACGGAAACTGACCAGTCCAAGTTTCTCCACGGCAAACTCTCTTCCGAATACCCATAAGGCAATTACGATATTCTTCGGTTACAAGCACATCAATCGTTCTGTAGCCAACAACTTCCTCAGCATACCAATGGTATAGATTCTCAGCCGAACGACTCCTGAACAAGAGAAGAATCTCTTCACTCGGAAACAATTTCCATATCCATATACAAAAGAATCAGCAACTTCAAAATGTACAAAACCATGGCAGATAGTTTCAATGGAGCACTATCGAATTCAATCGAAACTAATAGGTTCCTGATTTAATCAAAGAACTATAGATGAACACGAAGAACATTAGGAATCTGTACGACACTCACCAGAACGTGATTTCTCCAGACGCGGCTGATGTAACATGAATCGCGTGTCCCATTGAATCCATCAAAGTCCGGTAAGCACTATCGGCGAAGTAGAATCCCGAAACCGCTCTCTTCCACGTCGCCGACGGACAATCCCATGATTCCTCCGCCTCCGATTCCGCCGTTTCGTGATCGATTCGCTTCTCCTCCTGAAGCAATAGGTCATCCACATCCCCCCTTAGTCTCGCTTGACTCGTCTCCATTCTCTGGCACCATTCCACCAAAACCTGATAGAGACTCGATTCCGATTTGTTTCCGGCCATCGCACTCGCCGGCGAACTTGTTTGAGCAGAAGCATCAAGATCCGCCTCTCACAAAATTATTTAAATTTTGTTTAAATAGGAAAAATGAGGCATTAATCCCTCATTTGTTTATTATTTCCCAGCTGCTTCTTAATTACTCCGTGACGCTATAAATTAACAAACTCAATTTTATAAAATAAACACAGTGACGCAGTGTGGTTTCTCCACGTGTCCATATGCTAAGAAGAATTTGCCACGTGTAGAAATGCCGATGTAAGTGAAGATTGAGATTTATTGTCAGGATTAAAACGGGTTTGACGAAATTGACCTTGAGGAAAACTTGTAATTACAATATTGCTTTTATTTGTTGCCGCCATTGCAGGAAAATGTCAAAGGGGAATGGATGGTGTTGAAGGCCTCCAACGGCATTTATCAGTTTAATATATTTTTTTTATCTCTACATATCGCTGACGTAGCAATTTAATTTAGTATGATTGATTTTAAGCCTAAACGAAAATGTTTACGAAAAATTATTATTATATAAAACAAATTTGTGAAATATTTTAATTTTATAAAATTTGTAGAGAATAAAAATTTCAGTAAAATTAAATACTGTAATTGGTAACAATAATTTGACTTAATTGGTGGAATTTGTTTTGTAGAATTGACTAAAAATGTTAAATTACATTCTGTTTTTGCCCCCTACCCCACCCAACCCAGATATATATATTACATAAAAAATCACAAATACATGAATCTAACTGTATCCTAGAACAAAACCAAAAAAGTGGTTCATAAATTTCCAAATGAGGACAAGAATATAACCAATAATTTGCTAGGACCATGAACCTAAACCTAGAAAGTTGTGAATCTTTACATGGCTTTCGCATCCTTTGTTCAATGCATAATATTAAATATTTTA